CTAATTTTAAATAACTTTTTTATTTACTATATTAGTTTTCTTAATATAATATATAAGTATCATATTGAACAGATAAAACAAGAAATATTTTATTTATATAATATTTAATATTTAAGAAATGTAACTCAATTGGTAAATTAATAGGTAATCTTGGGATAAAATAATGAGTAATTTCTGAAAAAAAAATAAAATTATAGGAACTAAAAAGTTCAAATTGTAAACACAATTACTCAATAAATACTACATAAAAAATATAAGAAATATTATATCCTCCCTATATGTAATTAAAAAACTTAACTTTTCTCAATTCAACATCAGTAAATCAATGAAAATAATATATTTTTAAAATTTTATGAACAAAAGTTGACTCGACAATATTATTAATGAATTTATGAATTGTAAATATTTAATTAAAATATTAATAAAAAAATTTAATTAAATATAATATAATATTGAATATACAAATATTTGATATATAATGAGGCAGATGATCGAAAAAATTCTATTCTTTATATTATGTCTTTTTTGATAAATCTACAGTTAAGAACATGTGAAAGAACAAGATAATGTTTTAAAAAAATATTAAATATAAGAAATAATATGAATAATAACTAAGTTGTGATACGTACTAACAAATATAAAACACAACTAATAAACAAAAATAATATAATTAATATAACTAAATATAAACCTTCTAAAAATATACTTATCAATGTAATCGAACTGAGTTGTTAAACGCTTGTTAGTTTTTTGTTCTTATTAATTTTATGTGTAAATTTGAGGTGATAGACAATAGTTATTTGTACATTTATACATATAGATTAAAAAAAATCTTTATTATTATAATTTTAAATAACTTTTTTATTTACTATATTAGTTTTCTTAATATAATATATAAGTATCATATTGAACAAATAAAACAAGAAATATTTTAATTATTAAATATTTAATATGTAAGAATTGTAAGTCAATTGGTAAATTAATAAGTAATCTTGGATAAAATAATGAGTGATTTATGAAAAAAATTTATAGGAACTAAAAAGTTCACGTGTTTAATATATTTTTAATAGAAAAATTGTAAACACAATTACTCAATAAATACTACATAAAAAATATAAGAAATCTTATATCCTCCCTATATGTAATTAAAAAACATAACTTTTCTCAATTCAACATAAGCAAATCAATGAAAATAATATATTTTTAAAAATTTTATGAACAACAGTTGACTCGACAATATTATTAATGAATTTATGAATTGTAAATATTTAATTAAAATATAAATTAAAAAATTGTAATTACATATAATATAATATATGATATACAAATATTTGATATATAATGAGGCAAATGATCGAAAAAATTCTATACTTTATATTATGTCTTTTTTGACAAATCTACAGTTAAGAACATGTGAAAGAACAAGATAAAGGTTTAAAAAAATATTAAATAGAAGAAATAATATGAATAATAACTAAGTTGTGACACTTACTAATAAATATAAAACACAACTAATAAACAAAAATAATATAATTAATATAACTAAATATAAACCTTCTAAAAATATACTTATCGATGTAATCGAACTGTGTTGTTAAACGCTTGTTAGTTTTTTGCTCTTATTAATTTTATGTGTAAATTTGAGGTGATAGACTTGTATATTTATACATGTAGATTAGAAAAAAAAAATTTTATTATTATAATTTTAAATAACTTTTTTATTTATTATATTAGTTTTTTTAATATAATATATAAGTATCATATTGAACAAATAAAACAAAAAATATTTTAATTATATAATATTTAATATGTAAGAAATATAACTCAATTGGTAAATTAATAGGTAATTTGGGGATAAAATAATGAGTGATTTCTGAAAAAAAAAAAAATTATAAGAACTAAAAAGTTAACGTGTTTTAATATATTTTTAATAGAAAAATTGTAAACACAATTACTCAATAAATACTACATAAAAATATAAGAAATCTTATATCCTACCTATATATAACTAAAAAACATAACTTTTCTCAATTCAACATAAGCAAATCAATGAAAATAATATATTTTTAAAAATTTTATGAGCAAAAGTTGACTCGACAATATTATTAATGAATTTATGAATTGTAAATATTTAATTAAAAAATTGTAATTAAATATAATATAATATAGGATATACAACGATATATAAAGAGGCAGATGATCGAAAAATTTCTATACTTTATATTATGTCTTTTTTGACAAATCTATAGTTAAGAACATGTGAAAGAAAAAAGATAAAGTTTTAAATAATATGAATATAACTAAGTTGTGACACGTAATAATAACTATAAAACAAACTAATAGACAAAAATAATATAATTAATATAACTAAATATAAACCTTCTAAAAATATACTTATCGATCTAATCGAACTGAGTTGTTAAACGCTTGTTAGTTTTTTTGTTCTTATTAATTTTATGTGTAAATTTGAGGTGATAGACAATAGTTATTTGTACATTTATACATGTAGATTAGAAAAAAATATCTTTATTATTCTAATTTTAATTAACTTTTTTATTTACTATATTAGTTTTCTTAATATAATATATAAGTATCATATTGAAAAGATAAAACAAGAAATATTTTATTTATATAATATTTAATATGTAAGAAATGTAACTCAATTGGTAAATTAATAGGTAATCTTGGGATAAAATAATGAGTGATTTCTGAAAAAAAATAAAATTATAGGAACTAAAAAGTTTAAATTGTAAACACAATTACTCAATAAATACTACATAGAAAATATAAGAAATATTATATCCTCCCTATATGTAATTAAAAAACTTAACTTTTCTCAATTCAACATAAGTAAATCAATGAAAATAATATATTTTTAAAATTTTATG